TAGCCTTTGCTCTTCTCCGCTTGCCTCTTTTGGCGGGGAACTTCTGCCTAATAAGTGAGGTGGGGTGAAGACGGGTTGGCCCTTGTGTTCTTAGCCTGCTGGGCGTGGTGTTTAGCTTCCACTCTACGAGTTAGAGGCTGAGTACTCCCACCTCTCAGGCTTTCTCCTTGAAGAGAACTTCTGTCACCCAGAGCTGGTGGCATGAGACGAGCAGGATCCTGCTCTTGGTTGGATTTCAGTGGCTGGACTAGGGGCTGAGAGATGAAGTTCTCTGTTCTTGGCTTTACGTGCTTGTTTGGGGTGAACTGTGTTGCTGAGCTGGGTGTTTGTTGGGGCGTGTTGGGGAAGGATGGGAGCAGGTAATGGGTTAGATGTTGTGGGCTGTTGCGCTGTTCTTACTAAATATAGTAGATATTCTTGAGTAGATATTTATGGTTGCTCTTAGTAAAAAATTTTTGGGCCCAAATGGTTGTGGGTTTTGTGTTTTTTTTTAAAAAATAATTTTGATCAATTATGTTCTTTCCCCGGAGAGAGTGTTTGTTGAACTCCTATATTGCCATTCTGGAAGGCAGCTCCATATTCTTTAACCATTAATTGGTATTATAACCTATGATTTTTGAGACACCATATATAGCTTACTAACTATACTATACATACTGTGTTTACATTCTGATTCTTTGTACCAGGGATTTATTTAGGGTACTTATAAAGCATTGATTCATGTGGTCATGCATCTTAATTATTTATCAGTTCATTCAGGTGAGATATGATTGTGAGACTATATTGGTAGTATTTCTCTCGGTTGCACTGTAATGAGTTAAAAGAACATTTATATTTTTAGTGTTTCTCAAAAATGCATTATGATTTTCAGTTATCCACAACATATGGGTGTATCTCAAAATGTACAAATGAATACAAACTCTCTGATTCCATTTTGTAAAGTATAAAGACAGCCATACAAATCTTTGTTACTAGAATCAGAATAATGATTATATATATATAATTATATATAATATTATTAAATTATATATATAATTATATAATTATATATATAATTTTAAATCTGAGTGCCGGTTACTTACTTATGTTCATGCTGTGAGAATTCATTGAATTTTAGACTTATGATAAGTCCACTTTTGTGTATGTTATATTATATTTAAAAAGTTAAAAAAGTGTATTATGGGTCCCATATGACTTATGTATTTTTAACTGAATATAGTTCTAAGTAAATTATTATATTTAACATTTTATTTACTTTGGTATTAAAAACCGATGATATTGGTCCTCTAGTTTTAAGAATATTTGTTTCCTACTTTTATAAATGAAAACAAAATTCAAAATATAAATTATTATAAAATCATTAACAATCATGTTTATTTTTGCCCTTCCTCAAAACATTTTAAGGTACTGTGAATCTGGAAGTATTTTTTCTAAAAATATGAAGTTTAAAATATTGAAGTTTAGAGGACATTCTGTTAAAAACTGAGCATGCTATTTCAGAATTCCAAGGAAAATTCTATGTGCAAATTAGATCCTTTATCTAATATATATATAAAATCAGGGAGGTCTTTTTATCTTTTGTAATACATTTTTAAATTTTATCCTGTAGGACTATTTTGAAAGAAAGTGGGTTTGCCAGATACCTTCATTCAGCTGTTCTTATCAATGGAGCTATGCTTATTTTTGGAGGAAATACCCATAATGACACTTCCTTGAGTAACGGTGCAAAATGTTTTTCTGCCGATTTCCTGGCATATGACATAGGTATGTATCTGTTAGGATTGTACAAAGTAGGAAATATCAGAAATTTTTCATGTAGAGATTCTCAAATACGTTACTTGACAGCATGTGTGTATGTCATTTTAGAGAGAGAAATTCAGCGACAGATTATGAATGGGATTCTCTCTAAATTCAGCACAGTCGGAGTCTAGGGCCAGGAGAACAGTGTACTGAGGTGAATGAGTGGTGGAGACAGGAACTGAGATATCTGGGTTTGAATGTCCTTTTTGAAGGCTTTTTTATATTCTATCCCTCCATGAGCACTGTTTCAGTCTATTTTGTTTGACTGTTGCCGTTTGTTTTGATAATGGGTAGATATAGAGCACTATCAAATTATGTAAATTACAAATAGTAATGCAAGCATTTTAGATATAGTGAAGTAAAGAAGCATTTAAATTAAACTCACCATATATATTTACTTAGTATAGAAAGCTGATAGAATTAGAGAAAGGAACATAGAGATAGTGGAGCTCAAGAAATAAGATTTTGGTACAAAATGAAAACAGAACTAGGAATGGAAGTAATTAAATAATCTTTTGCAGAGAACCAGAAATACAGTGCATTAATACAAGTTATTTAATTTTAATTATTCTATCTATAGTCCTATCAATTTCTGAATATTAAATGAATGTATTGAAATACTAAATTTAGCTATGCCATAGACTGTTGTAGTGAAAACATTTCTTCTCTATATATCGTATGATAAAACCTAGCTGATATTTAAAATATATTTAGTAGTACTTTCGAGCCTTTTATTGATGGTGTAAAGAAATATACCAATTTTAAGCTATTAAGAATAATTTTGATAAATAAAAATAAAAGAGACCAAAGAATGACACATTCAATAGATGTAAGAAGTATACTTTTGCTCTTAAACACCATAAAAGCACATAATCTACTTTGGAAAATTATTTCAAGTGGTAGCATATAAAGGAAATTATTACTCTTCATGAGCACTTTGATCTTCATACTATTACACGTTTGTTTGGAAGAAAATTCCTAGTAATAAAGTTAAACATGCCTTTTAACTCAAAGCTATAGTAATCATTCCAAAGGATTCACTGTCATTCCAAAGGATTCACTATTTTTAGATCCTAAATAATTAAATATTTACTTCTGGAAATAATAATTTGAAGTGATGGTTCATGATGAAAATGGGATTGTCTCGGCTTTTAGAAGGCTTATAAGTCAGTGCCTGAGATCCAGAAAAACTGATGGAATGAAGTATTGAAGGAGGCTGGCTTAGGAGCTTTCACTGCCGGCCGGGGCTGTCCGCGTGTTGTTTTGCTGATGGTGCTGAGACAGTGAGCTTAGCTCTCTGGAGGCAGATGAAAGCTTTGTTCATTTTTCTTATAAGAAAAAAAATCCCAGGAAAAGTGTAGAATTTTGTTGTTATTGTTAAAAATCTATAAAGTGAGCTTGAACTTTTGAATTTTGCAGAAGGTTCTTCCAGGAGCTTCCACCCCATTTCTGTACTTTAACGCAGAAATTAATGTTGAGATAGTTTTGTATCTCACATATTGGGAATTTACTTTTATTTCTTCCATATTGTTCATGATTATCTTGTTTTAGGTTTTGTGTATCAAAAAAGCTTACTGAGGTGAAAAAACATTAGAGGTGTTAATTTCAGAGAGAGAGAGAGAGAGAGGGGTGGGGGGAGAGAGAGAGAGATCGATCAGATTGTCTTTATTCTAATTACTCTTTACCAAGTGTCTTCTGAGTGCTAGGTACTATGCTTAGGGCTTTATATACTAATATCTGTAACCTCTCTCATAACCCTGTAATGAGGTGTTAATAAACTGATTCCCAAAATATTAAGCAGAAGGGAGTGAAGGGCAATTACCCAACGCTGTGTGGGTAGCGATCAGTGGATCTAGCTTTTGTAACTCCTAAAACTTGTACGTGGTAAGTTGTCTTTCCACTTGAATATACTGTGCTATTTGGTTGGGTCTAATGCATGTTCTTAATTTTTGCAATAAGTTATCAGACATGTTATATTTAATGATGTTTCTTAATGCTGTGGAAAGATAGAGGCAAGTATCAGTTTCATTTTTCAAGCAAATGTTCAATTGAAGGAAGAATAACATTTTTAAATAGCATTATAATTTAATGTAAGATTTTTTTTTTTCCCCTGTGCTAACACTAACAACAAAAACATAACACAACCATACAATTCAACATAGGATAAATGTTTGTTATTTTACCTCATTTGATTATTTATGTTCAGTTCCCAATGAATTTCCCATCTAAAATCTGCCATCGTTTTTCTTAGTTTTGTAGCATCAAATGTTTGAATATTTTCCTGGGAAAAGCATTTTTTTATATTTCAGGAAATGCCTTCCAAAATAATTGTCTTCCTTTTGCAGTATATTTTGTGGAATAAAATGCAATCATTACATAATGCATCAACCATAAAATAGATCTATTTTGAAAGGAAAATAAAGGCCATGTTGCTGATTTTTCTCTGTAGTGCCCTAGGACCCTTATATAGTGCCCTGGGACTTTTACTTTGGTCCAGTGCTGGGACTTTCAGCGCCTGCTTACCTGGACTGCACCTGAACACAGCTGACTGCCTTGTGTCCCGTCCTATTTAAACAAACAGGGATATTTGCGCTCACGCTAATTTTTCATTGTCCTCTTCCGTCTGTATAATCGGATGCCCTGAGCTCAGGCACCGGGCACCTACGTTTTTAAAAAGGTCCCTCGCGCAGCTGCTGAGGACCGTGGCTGGTGAGTGACCGTCGACTCCACCGTGCGCCGTGATGTATTGACGTTCTAGCTGCGAATCTAGCTTGAAGTCAGATTTTAAAGCTGAACACATATTAATTTTTGTTATTGTTAATGGTGTTGTTATTGCACTTGACCGAAGATTAAAATGATCTTTCTGGTGGAGAGAACCTTCCAGTGCACAGGAGGCTCAGGGTGCGGTGGGAAAACACGTCTCACGCGGCCCGTCTCGTTCTTGGACGTACTTACAGTGTGACACCGCTTGGCTGGGGGGTCAGTATTGACATAAAGGTTCGTTTCCTAGGGTCAGCGGGGAAAAAAGGAACCAGGAGGTTTGTTTTCCACGTCTCTTACCTGTCACTAGGCGATCTGACCGAGGATTTCAACACTTGCAAGTGAGAGCACTTCATGGACTGAAACACCTTAAAATTGAAGTGAATTTCAAGACAGTGTTTTAAAAGTATAATAGATTATGGCCAAGTAGGATTTATTCTAGGATTTAAGTGCGATTCAATATAATTTATTACATAGAGACTTTTTATTGAAACCAACAGGAAATAATATTGTATGTTAAAACCCTGTAAAATCATTTCAGTTAAGATCGATTGAGGCAAAGAGTGATGCTCACTTTGGCTGGCAGAGAGTGAAAACTAAATAAATGTTTATTGAATGAATGTGCGGGGACAGAACTCTGAGAGAAGCCGCGGGCATGAATGAGGTAACTAAGACTTTAGGATATTTGGGAAGTTTCGACCTAGTGGGAGGAATCCCAGGGAAGCACCGTCATTAAAGGGCTGGTGGAAAATGTTTTTAGGCAACATCCAGAAATTTGGTTTTTATTACGAAGGTATTCAAGTGGTTAGTAGGAGGTTTTCTCTCTACGGGCATCTAGTTTTGAGTCTTGTACACACAGCCTTTGTGTGTGTTTTAGCGTATTTCAGGTGTGCAACTAAGACTGACTTATGAACTGTTATTTCAAGTGGAATATTAAAGGAATATTTTAAATATGCCCTTAAAGCATTAGAGATGTATATTTTCAAGAAAAAATGAGTCCTTGTAGAAAAATTTGCCCATGAACATGCATTTTCCTCCTGTACTATTTATGCATAATTGATAAAATAAACCAGTCTCTAAATTTCAGCGTAAGTTTTTAATGTAATTCTGGGGCCCTCATAGGTTAGTGGTCTGACGGCATGATATTGTGATTTCTGAAATTTGAGTTTGAGAAAATAGTGACTCTAATTTTGTGATCTTACGTGTATTGCGTGTACAGTTTGTAAATTAATTTTAGTACCTTGTAGCACAGGTTTCAAAAGCAATCTGTATTCGAGAGCATGTATCACACTTTGTTCCGTTTTCCTGAGTGGCTTTTCGGTGGTTGTGGAATGGCACTTCTGTCACTTTCCATGATGTCAGTCACTGTGTGGATTTCGCTTTCATTTGCCTGGCCTTCTACTCTTTATGAAGTGATAATGACCTGAGTGCTCTGGAAACATATTTTTGTCTTGGGAAAAAAGCCATAATTATAGTTTGTAGTCAGAGAGATTAATAATGTGAGAGACTTTTAATGCAAGAATGGGAACAGACCACATGTAAACAGATTGTGTTAAGTTAATATTGAGCTTTAAGGCGCTTGATAACTTTCACATCTTACAGGAAAACCAATCTAAGTTTTATAGAGAACCCCGATCAGGAATGGGAAAACTCAGCAGCAGGATCTGTCTCGCCCAGCATTCTGTTTAGCAGTTATTGAAAAAGCTGGAAGGAAAAAGCGGAAAGACTGTTCATAACAGCTGCTCTACTCTTCGCTTCCCTTTCTGTGGACGATGCCTGGCAGGTGGGCAGCTATCAGCAAGGGCGAAGTACTGTGTCTATAGATACAAAAATTGCTGACCTCCCCTAGCTTTGCATAAGCTTGAAAGTTAAATTCAATTCTTCTTAAGTAATTTTATGGGCGAAAACAGTTTGCCAGCTATTGTAAGAACCTGCAGAGGAAAACGTGCATTGATTGTATTGTATTAGTCAGCACAGGTTAGGTTGTACTGTGCAAACAAAGAACCTTGTCACAGTTCGGGTTCTCTGGACAGCAAACCCTGTGACAGAGTTTGGTGTTTAAGGTACTGATTAGGTCCTTGGGAAAGGGCTGGGGAAGAAGCTGGATTGGGCAGAGGAAAGGTCAGGCCCACCTAATGGCCTCAGTGCCCATCAGAGTTGTCACCCATAGGATGAAACAGGCCTTGATTGATCATTGTGTGAGGGTCTCTCCCAGGAGCATAGACCATTGGTGAAGTTCTCCAGACCTAAAGCCATGTCTGCAGGGGCTGGTAGCTGGATGGTGTGGGTGATGGTGGTCCTATCAATGGGGCAACAAACCTTCCCTGAGGGTGTATTTAGTCAGCACATTTCCATATTCAACAGACTTCAGTCTGACCCACTCAGTCCACTTCTTCAGGTACCTCTAGGATGCAGTGGCCCTTTTCCTGGGGAAAACCTAGATTCCTACTCTGGCTTCTGCAGCTGGGCTCAGCGCTGGCCACTGACACGCCTCATGTTCCGTCTCCGTTTTCCTTTCTAAATGCCCCTCACCATCAGCTAGAGCCTCTCCTGGTCTCTGTCTTACCTGGTGGCATGAGATCAAAATAGTAAAGGCCACACCGCATATCTCTTAGAAGAAAATAAGAGATTTTTCTTTAAAATCCTGAGTTAAGGATAAAAAGAACAAGTTATCAATTTGACCAAGTGCATGTACAAACTTTTTGTAAAATAGGATTCCATAACTAAGCGAAAAGACAGGTCACAGGGAAGGAGAAGATACACGGTAATGCATACTACCGGCAAAGGCTTTGTGTTCAGAACATTTAATAAAGGATTATTAGGCAGAATAATCAAGTAGAAAAATGAGTGAATGTCTTGAACTGGGGTTTTATAGAAGAGTGAAAACAAATGACCTATCGAGGTGAAAAGATGCTTGATCTCACCAGCAACTGGGAAAACACACCAGACAGAACCGTTCATCAGACTGGAGAGAACATGAACTAAGAAGACCCACCGTGTACTGTTGGTTTGAGCATAAGTCGATGAAACTACTTTGGGGAGCAAATTGGCAAAATCTAGTGAAATTGAAATTGTGCTTTTCCATAAACCTAGTAATTTTAATCTTAGGAGCCTACCTAGAGAAACTCTCAAAATGTGCATGGGAAGATGTGAATACTAATGAACTTACCAACATGACTTGTGGTAGGAAAAGTCTGAGAAAAGGCTAACTGACCATTAACAGATGAGTGGATAAATGCGGCACAGTCATAGGAAGGAGCGCGAAAATATGGTTAAAATGAACACACAGCACCACATGTATGCGTAAATCTAAATGGGTCGTTGAGCAGACATTTCTCCAAAAAAGATACACAAATGGCCAATAAGGTCGTGAAAAGATGCTCAACATCACTACTCACTAGGGAAATGCAAATCAAACCCACAGTGCGACACCACGGCACACCCAGTAGGATGGCTGTCATCAAGAAATAGAAAATAAGTGTTGGTAAGGATGTGGGGAAATGGGAACCCTTGGGCGCCGCTGGTTGGAATGGAGAGCAGTAGAGCTGCTTGGAAGAGTCTGGGAGCTCCTCAAAATGTCTAAGAGTTTACTGCCTGTGTGTTTTTGTAGGAGTTTTATGGTTTTCTCTCATACATTAATACTTTAATCCATTTTGAGTTCATTTTTGTATATAGTGTAAGAAAGTTGTCCAATTTTATTCTTATGCATGGAGCTGTCCAGTTTTCTCAACACCATTTATTGAAGAGACCGTTTTCCCCCCATTGTATATTCTTGTCCCCTTTGTTGTAGATTAATTGACCACATAAGCGCAGGTTTATTTCTAGGCTCTCTCTTCTGTTCCACTGATTTGTGTGCCTGTATTTGTGCCAGTACCATGCTGTTTTCATTACAACAGCTTTGTAAAATAGTTTGTAATCAGGGAGCATGACACCTTCAGCTTTGTTCTTTTGCAAGACTGCTTTGGCTGTTCTGGATCTTTTGTGGTTCCATACTAAATATTTTATATTTTATTTTGATGATTCTGTTTTTAGACATTCTTTCACTGAACATTACATATTCCATTTTGTATGCTTGTATGTAAAGTTTGATTTAGCGATTTAACTTTCTATTAGGTTTGTCCAGCATTGACATTCGTGTATTACTTTACTGTTTGAACCTTGGTCATTGAAATTATTTCTCAATGTAAAATGCACTCAGTTTCTTTCCTTTCATTTTTTAAAATTCTCATACAGTTAAATTTACTTGTGGGAATTGTAGGCAAAATAATTTTTACTTAAGGAATAATGCTAGTTGAGTAACAATACTAAATTGTAGGTCATGAAAAATTAATAAAAGTCTTCCTAACTTTATATATTGTATCATTAATTTAGCCAATGATTGTTTTAATAGTATTTGTTTTAATTTGTTCTTTTATTTCATTTTTTTGTTTTGTTTTTCTGATCTCTTTTTTTCTAGCTTGTGATGAATGGAAAATATTACCGAAACCAAATCTTCATAGAGATGTCAACAGATTCGGACACTCCGCAGTTGTCATTAATGGGTAAAAGAAATACATTTATCAGTTGTACTATCTCATATTCTGTTATTCTTTTAAAAAAACATCATTTGTACTTAATGGTATTGGATTTTATGTATCCCTACTGTACCGTGGAGTACCTTTTGGATCATTAACCTTATCCTTCATTCTTTTTTGTTTAAATCTATTTAAGGAGTGAGGGAGTTGTCAAAGGAAAGGTGCTGAGACAAAACTTAAGATACCTAAAAAAAAGTCATCCTGCCTTCTTTCCCTTTTTCAGAGATCAGACAATGAATGTGACCTCCTTAAAAAAGATCAAACTGAAATAATAGCAAGGCTAGCCCCATATTTCCATAGAAGAGAGCAAGGATAGTGAGAAGAACTCAGTTTAATTTTGTTATTAACTAAATGCATGATTTTTGACAAGTCTGTTAACCTCTCTGGACTTTAATATTCTTAAATCCATTGGGAATTTGGACTAGATGATCATTAAGCAACCTTCCTCCTATAAGTTAGTATGATTTTTCTATTTCTGTAGGAAAAATTTGGTAATATGGACTCAAGTGACAGTAAAAATGTGCTAGCTCATTCATTAGCTTAAAATGTATAATTCATAATGACACGCTTATAAGTTCATTTTATTACCATTTTTCTCAAATTATGTAAAAATTCTCCAGTATGATTCTAAAAGCAGGTAGAAGTTAACTACAATGAAACGGTGTAACTGATACCAGCTGGCTTTCAAAATAGTAATAAATGAAATTCAGAGTGGAAACATATAACCTCTAGGCTTCTCTGTTGGGAAATTGTGTTTTGTTGGTTTCTATTTTACTTCTCTTAAACAGTAAAAGGTATTATTGAAGCATTTCCTGATCCTTTCCATTTATTGTATTAATAATATCTTTAGAAATGAAAATGCTGTTGCGAGGGCCTGTCAAACTTCTTTGGCATTGTTACTACTAATTCACTAATTGTCTGGGATTTTCTTTCTAAATTGAAATTTTGAAAATCATTTTCATTAGTTTATTCTTTTTTTTTTTTTTTTTAAATTGCTTTTTGGGAAAGAATGAGGAAGGGTGGAGGGGGAGGAGAGAGAGAGATTTCTGCTGTTCCACTCGTTTATTCATTCATTGGTTGACTATTGTATGTGCCCTGATGGATTGACCGGCAACCTGGTCCTTCCGGGACAATGCTCTAACCAACTGAGCCACCTGGCCAGGGTCTACTGGTGTGTTGTTGTTTTTTTAATTTTACAAGAGAATGGGAAAACGCAGTAAGAACACCTCCTTATCTAATTTCTAAATTTTATGTCTGTATTCAGAAATTATAATTTGCTATCTAATAATAACCTTATTATTCCTGTATAGAGATTACCTATTTCTAAAAAAAATTGTTTCCTACTTAGATAAAAAATTGTAAAATGTGTATATATAAATTTATTTTTAAAACTAATACATTAAACAGGAACCTTGGTTGGTATTGTTTCTTTGAGATTCTCATTTTGTTTTCATCAGGTCCATGTATATATTTGGAGGATTTTCCAGTGTGCTCCTTAGTGATATCCTTGTGTACAAGCCTCCGAATTGCAAGGCTTTTAGAGATGAAGAACTTTGTAAAAATGCCGGCCCAGGGATAAAATGTATTTGGAATAAAAATTCCTGTGAATCTTGGGAATCTGGGAATGCAAATAATATTCTTAGAGCAAACTGCCCTCCGAAAACAGGTAAAAGTTGCCTTTTCTCTCTCCTTTCCTGAGTTTCTGGCACAAACTTCTCTACTTGGCTAGAAGTAGAAGTGCATTCTGCTTATAAGAATTACCTTAGCAGCCTTCAGAAATTAAAAATTTATAATCCTCTGATTAGGAATCTAATGTTTGAACTAGCCAGCAATTAATAATTTAATATCTTTATTATCTATTTTTAGTTTTCTTTAAAAAATTCTGCATGCGATATTACATATCAATATTTTATACATACCATGGTCATATATATGAATTATTTTCCTATGTAAGTAAAAAAATGATTTCAAATAATCCTTTCTAAGAAGTACTGTGTGCTTCAAAGAAATAAAATGAAGTAATTTGTTATGCATTTGGTATTTTTTTTCTTCCTGAATTATTGCCATGCCAGAGCATGAAGTTAAAATTTCCTTTCTACAATTTTGATGATGAAGGTTCTAGTTTAAGATTTTGTATAAAATATTGAGTAAGCCAATCAAACTTATGAAAAATTACTTGTATTTATAAATGAATGATTTGGATAGAAATGGTTCCATTTTCGTTAAGTGGGTGAGTTTTGTACATTTGCAGGGCTACAGTTAACAGACGTGTTTTCAGACTCTGCTGATCTGTAACTCAGATGTCTCTAAATGTCTTTATGGGGGATGATGGACAGTGTGTGTCGTGACGTTTTTTCCCGACCTGCAGTAATGTGCTTGCCTGCTGAGCCCCCGCGAGCCTCTGCCCCGCTTCCATAAGGCTCACGCCTTCGATGGCCGCGGCCCGGCCCTCGAGGTGAGGCAGGAGGTGCGCAGGCCCCGCGCGCACCGCCTGCGGGCTGGGCTTCGCGGTGAAGCGCTGACTGCGACGCGATGGCCATAGTTGCGGCCCAGGCGTCTTAGTGATTCTTGCACAGGTGTCCCAGGGGTGTCCCTCGAGGCGTGCGACCCGTCTCTCCCGCTGACCTGTTTCCCTCTCCCTCTGCGTCGCAGCTGCCTCTGACGACAGGTGCTACCGGTACGCGGACTGCGCCAGCTGCACCGCCAACGCCAACGGGTGCCAGTGGTGCGAGGACAAGAGATGCGTGTCGGCCAGCAGCAACTGCAGCGTGGTCAGTACTCGTGCGGGGCCGCTCCCAGCCCC